CCCCCCGTGCATGAGCTCTCCTTCCCTTCTCTTCCACTCCGGTTTGAGATCCCAGCTTTTGGATGCCAGTCCACACTCCCAAGGGGAGGGAGCTTTGCAGGCTCTAGCCCTAGGGCCTCGGAGCCCAGCACAGGCTTCAGGGGGACTCTCCCTTTCTACCCCCTTCCCTCTCTTACCAGACTCTATGATGTTCCTTCAGTGCTTCCTACTCAAAGTATGTCCACTCAGGTATATTTCTCTGGTTTTTCCAAGCTGGTTATGCAGTATTTTAGTGGTAAATCAAGTCTATGGCTGGGAGCAAGGGCACTCTGTTTCTTGTCACAGTGCTGCCATCTTCCCCAACCATCTCCATAACAGTTTTAAACCAGAACTAAACCAATTAGTTCTGCTGACTTGGAATAAATGGGTCTTCATGGTCATAGGATTGTAATAGGTAAGAGTATGGATGCTCAGCATAAACTCAAACAAAGGCCAAACAATTTAATCACAGTCCCCTGTGAGAGTGGCTGAAGAGAGATTTTGTGAACAAGGAAGACAGCACTGGCTTTTCCTCATTTGGTGGCCCTTATGCAATTCACAGCTATATATATTGAAATAATCAACACTTAAGATCAAAGATAGGTTGTTTTTGACGAGAAATTACAATGAACCCTAGGATTTATCTCAGGAATGAGCAAAGCAAATGAGAAACAGCACTTTGCCAAAAAATGGTGAACAACGCATGTGAATGAAATGCCAAGTGATTTTCCCCATGTTGAAAAGTAGGTTCTCCAGGAGTTCAAGGGAGAAATGTGATTCCACACCTCAAGTAACTAGCTAGCTTTTTTATAGATAGTCTAATGGGAAACTTTGCCATAGTCATCATCTCAGATACTAATAAAATTTTAAAGTATTAAAATACCTTTCTGAATGTAGTTTAACTAAATGATTGATATTTAGGGTTTTATTTTATTTTAATTAATTAATTAATTAATATATCTTTATTGATTTCAGAGAGAGGAAAGGAGAGGAAGAGAGAGAGATAGAAATATCAATGATGAGAGAGTCATTAATTGGCTGCCTCCTGCACGCCCCCGACTGGGGATTGGGTCCACAACCCAGGCATGTGCCCTGAACGGGAATTGAACCCTGATTGCTTGGATCCTAGGTCGATGCTCAACCGCTGAGCCATGCCCGGCCGAGCTAGGGCTTTATTTTATATAGTATCCTGAAGCAAAACAGCAATGATTGGATTCCCAGTGTTTTCATGTCTTCAAACTAACAGTTGCATAATCATATATTTTGTATGTTAATTTTTTGCATCTTGTTAGCATCACCCTATTTTAATAATTAACTTTAATTGAGTGTTTATTATCTTCTAGGTAGTTTACACATGTTATCCTTAATAATCACAGCAATGTAAATATTATATCCATCTTATAGATGGGGAAACTGAGACTCAGTAAAGTTTGATAATCTGACCAAGGACACAAAGCTGTTGTCTGGTAAATCCAGAATTTGATTCACATTCTTGACTGCAATGCCTGTGCTTTTCCTAGCACACCATACTGTCTCTCAATAAAGTATAAGTAAGATGTATGCAGAGTGCCTGGCACAGAATGGCAGAGCAAGAAAAATTAATTTTATTATCCCTAAAACTATCAGATAAATATTAAGGGATAATTTTATTATCCCTAAAACTATCAGATAAATATCCTTAACATAAGTAGGATGAAAACAGTCTAAATACAAACTCTCTTATTAAAGAGTACTCTTCAGTTCCAAATCATTTATGCAAGTGAATCTCATTTGGAGGAGACAAAGTCAAACCCTTGCATTTAAGTAGCCAATTCAAATGTAAAGACTTTAAAATTTACCAAGTCCTTATTCTTCATTTTTATTAGCCTTTAAGAAGGGAGTAAGCAAAAACCAAAACAAAAAACAAAAACACACACAAAAAAACCTCAGAGACTCAGACAACATTATGTTGATTACCAGAGGGGGTAAGGGGAGGTAGAAGAGGGAAAAGAGGGAATAAATGGTGAAGAACAAGACTTGGGGTGGCGAACACACAATACAATATACAGATGATGTATTATAGAACTGTACACCTGAAATCTATGTGATTTTATTAACCAATGTCACCCCAATAAATTCAATGTGAAGGCTGGGGTGGGCAGGGGCTGGGCGAAGGGGGGCAAAGGGAAGGATGGGGGACATCTGTAATAGTGTCAACAATAAAAAAAGTCCAAGAAAAAAAAGAGAAAACAAAAATAGTAATTTCATTCTAATCAATGAATTATCAACCAAGAGAGATACAGTTGCTCCTTTAATCAATATAAAATCTAAGAATCACAGCATTTTAGAGCTGGAAGGGATAATAGAATTCATCTAGTTCACTTTTGTCTCTGCACACTCTGCCAACTTGGCCTCCAACTCCTACCTCTACACTATCATTTGACTTAGTGAGTAACTAGTATAAGGTTACAAAGCTGTTAGAGGCAAAGAAGAGACTAAAATCTCCGGAGTTCCAGTTCAGTCTTCTTTTCATTATGCCACCAGGCATTCAATGCAAGTGCTCTCTAGGCAGTACCAGACGTAGTGTTTCAGGAAAAAAACACACAAAAAACACACACAACAAAACTCTCTAAGTATTTAAATAAGTAGATTTGTCTCTCCAGTGACTCCTAAAAGGCTAATCCTATTAGCTAAACTTGACTGAGAAGGATGTGTTAAAACTCTTTATAGGCATTATTTCATTTCATCCTCAAGGCAAACCTATGGGAGTAGTTCTTGGTTCTTTCACATTTGATTGACGAGGGAACCCAGACTCAAAGACTTCAGATAAGTTGCCCAAGGTCACAGAACTAGTAAGCAATGGATCTGGAATTCCAAGGCCTGACTTGAAGCCTAGCTCTCAACAACTATGACACACTGCTATTATGTCTCTTGCTTTTTCTTCAAAAATTGTTTCTTTGTCCTTTGGGACTTAGGATCACTATGCATATAGTATGGATATCTAATTACAATTAGGGAAAAGGTTTCTGGAAGGATAACTGCAGAGGGAAAAATAGTAACCCACATCATCTCCACAAATTAAAGAGCCACTTGGAATACTTTTCACAAAGTCCAGGCCTTTGCTATCCTCATGCATAAACCTTTTTTCAGTAACATTAATCGTCTCTTTTGTCACTCATTAACACTAAATCACACTGAATAACACTAAATCAGAGTTTTCAAAGGCAAAGGAAAGCACCGATACCAGCAGTCACTTGGGACCTGAGACACCTGGGCAGAAAAGAGCCCAAGAGCAAAGCAAAGTTTCCACCAAAACTGCAATGAGGTTAACAGGGCACAGTAACACAATCTTTGTACCTGATACTAGGAAACACGGAGAGAAAAACAGGGAGAGCAGAGGGGAAAATCTGCTGCAGGCCTGAGGTTGTTAAACAGGAAAGGAGTGAGGAAGGGATTTCCAGGCAGTCTTCTCCCAAGTTATTTCAAAGCCAGTGCCCACCACCAATTAATCCAATGCAAGGCACCCTTGTGAAACACAAGGAAAAGGCAACGCAAAGAGCCCAACACTCCCCGAGTTGCCAGTCTCCGCACTCAGTTTCTCTTACCCTTTTCTACCAGAGAGGCAAATTCTAAAGGATTTTCCGCCCAACCCCCCATGCAGGGTGAATCTCAGGGAGAAAAGCACCCAGCCTCATTCGGTGGGGACAGAAAGGGCACTGGTTTTCTTTCGGAGCAAAGGATAAGAGGAGGAGAGCACCGAGGGAAATAAGAGAAACTGGCCTTGGAAGGGGTTTGAAAAGGCACAATTTAGTAGCTACACTCACCCGGGTGAGACATGGGGATGACCTCATTGCGGGTCCCCGGGAAGTTAAAGATGACGGCTCCAGACGCCCCTCTCTCATAAGCCAGATGGATCTTGTCTGCGAAGGTGCAGCCCCCTCCGCGCTGGATGAGGGCCAACCAAGAGACTTGCACGGTGCGTCCCCAGTCCCCCGGGACCGTGGGCACCGTGAAATTTGTGTGCGGGTTACAGGCATTGAGAGCCCCTGGCCCATCGGGCGGTACCAGGACCCCAGCCACAGGCTGGAGCGGCGAATCCTNCCTGGCCGTACACGCCCTCCTCGCTCAGCTCCCACACGGTGCGGTTCACTGCGGTGTGCGGAACCCGCCAGGACACGTTGAGGTACGCGGTCCACACAGCTTCGGCTCCCCGGGAGCCGGGGGCACGCGGACTCAGGGCCAGCAGGAAGCACCACGCCAAAAACCGGGAAAAGCCGCAGCCACCGCGGCAGACGACCCCGGCCCCGGGCGGCGGCCGCATGGCGCGCGCGCTCTGCGGTTTCCTAAGGCGCGTGACGCGC